TTTTCCTTGTACACAATTCAACCAAGTTGCATATTTTTTTCCATATTCTGAAATTCGGCTTAAAATTAAATTTTTACGCTTTTCGTTTTATTTTAGGTATATTATTATATGTATTTGGACATTTAGCCATATGATCTTTATTATGCTCTTAAACTAGGATTAAGTTCTCCGAGCCCGCTACCGTCCCTCAAACTTCTTTAATTATTTTTGCCTAGGCAAATTTACAAGGCTCGGTTGGGGTTGGAGGACAAAAGGGGGGAAAAGCCGCTCTAACCCAGGTTTTTGTGTGTGTGTCTGCTTCCCTAAGGGCAACTGTGCTGGATAAAGCAACATGCAGAGAGACAACATGACAATAATGACGCCCTGAATGTGTCTTTTTCAAAGGGATTGTGTTGCAGAGATTCCATTTAGTAGTTTCTAACAAGGAAAGAGGGGGTACTGCAAACGTGGAGGCGGATAAATCTTGAACCACATCATTTACACTCTTAAATCTGAAATGGTAGCAAGGTAGTGTGAAATTATTTTAAATTTATTATTAGCATTTGTTTATGTAGCACGTTATTGTTATTATCATTATCATCATAACTATTGTTATTATTATTATTATTATTATTTATTATTATTATTATTATTATTATTATTATTATTATTATTATTATTATTAATATTAATATTATTATTATCATTATTAAACAAATAATTCGTCTGAGGATAACTGCCAGCGGCAGATATGCGTGTTTTTTTTTTTTTTAGTATCCAGAAGCCCTGAGTTGTTAACCTTTAGGTCGGTACTATGGATATCGCAACCCTTCGGCCTTGATTCCATGATAAATACCGTAAAACTGGGGGACGTGTGGCTTTTCTGCCTACCCCCTGGCGTGAACCGGGACCACAAGGATTTCGTCACACGGTTATCGCGCAGTCCGGTTTAGCCAACTACGCTAGAGATCCGGGCATAGATATGTGTAAAATAACTAAGCCGTTCTCATCTGCTCCCCAGCATTTTATTTGTATCGGCGATCCTGTGCAACCACATACATGAAAAGGCATGTTAGAATACAACCAAGAGATGATTCAGCACATTCTTGATCAATGGGAATACGCTTTAGCTAACAATGTGTCCTCCACTGGATTTCGACGCTGAGCTGTCACCAAACTTCAACACAGTCCATAGTATAATAATAGCATGAAAGCCAGGGTATTGCCAAAGTAAGTATCATGCTTAATAATATGGGAAGTCAATGCGACTTAGGCTGAACACAAAATTCAGGATATACTCGTACAATAGCAACATTATCAGAATGCCACGCAGCGAATTTTGGAAAAACGACAGGATTTTACCAAAACTAGACATTTAAAAAAAATTTTTTACAAGACTACTACGAAATATTTTAGCCACACAAGTTCATGAAAGAACAATAGTAAAGGTGAAAAAAAATGTGCATCACAAGCAACGCTGTCAAAATACGATAAAAATATAGATGGCTTAGACATTCCTGCAGAATGCTTGCACCCTAGAATTTATTGGGAATGTCTCCCGTGACGTTGTCGTGGCGTCAGGGGTAAGTTATAAATTAAGTACCGAATGCTTTCTTTAATGATACTGGCAAGCACAACTCTACTTTGGACTGCAGATGGAGAAAGGAAACCCGGATGACCTAATAAAACCTGGAAGAGGCAATAGAACGGGCTTAAACTGACAAAAATAAGCAAACCCGCCGCCATGGAAATCGCATGTAAATGTGTTATGTGTAGGGTTACCATACGTCCTGTTTTCATTGGGATGTTTCCGCCTTTTATGTGTGTACCGGAGTTCTGTCCCTACTAAAATAAAAGATAATAAACAGCCTATTGCCTCTTTTTATACACATCTATGAATTGCTTCTAGAACAGAACATACACTTGTAGTTATATCTGTAACATGTAAAAATTCCGTTTCACGCCTTCAGGCGCGATAGGCATATGGGAAGATCACCCATATGTTTTACAGACCAACCGGCACTAGGTGGCTGATGTAGTCAGCATTACGTCGGCCTTCTTTACTTCCCCAGAACATGCATCCTGGTACCAAGTTTAGGCTGGGTCGACCCGCGACGCCCCATACCATGATTAATAAAAACAATTCAGTCAGCAGTGGGTTTCAATCACCGTACGTTGGTATTACGAGTCGGACTCGCAAGGCCTAAGCCATTTACGTTCATGCATATGTGTAGACATTTTTAATTTTCAGTAATAGTCATTGAAATATGCTGACAGACATTTTCATTTTAGCATTTTTTTCAGTTCGGTTAAAGAGCACATTCTTTCTTTTATTTCGTAGCTACAATGATTGGGGTTTTATTATCATTGAGCAGCAAGTAATTATCCATTGCTCTCGGTGACCAAGAGAAAAAAGATTTGGGAGTTAAACAGGTAGACTACGACATAAAGCGAATGCAGATACAGACAGAGGTATTATTTACCAAAAGTGGTCTCTTATCGAACAGAAGACTATATTTACCGTTATTTCCAAGAAAAGGACATTTGTCTTGCTTGAGGCTCATCAGAACGAAGGTCGGCGTGATGAAAGAGTAACTGACGCTCTGGATGATGGGTAGTCTTCAAAAATACAATAATGAAATGATTGTATAAAGTTAAAGTAAAAGTCGAGAGAATCAACTTCCTCGGGTTATCCCATATGGCCTGGTCTCACTATGCCCAACGCCTAGCCATCTGCCGAAAAAGCCGCGCAGAGTATGAACTCCCTAGCTCCGGTAACGATCCCCAGAGATCTTCTTGAAAATTACGCATACTTTATATTAAAGACACCTGAGTGCTATTATTATAATATATCATTAAATCAACATATTAAAAATGTTTCCTTAGCACTTTTTAATCTTTTCTAAGGATACTGATATAGTGTGCTACTGGAAGACATGGCAATCCTAGCCATGGCGATGACCAGTTTGATTAGCAATACTGGCTCGTGAAAAGAAAAGACTTTTATGGTCAGAGCATTTTTTGTTCTTTTTTAAACATATTTTTATCGTGCTACTCCTCAGCGCTCAGCTCTCAACATATCTGCAGACTTGGTTCCATCATCATCATTTAGCAGATCCTTTGCAGACCGTCGCTCTCCTCACAATCTGCCTGAAAGAAACTCGGTCTCTCGCCAGCTCTCCCGCCTCCTTTAATTTCATATTCTGGGAGTCATTTATATCTTGTGCCCATCTTCGTGCTGGTCTGTTCATGCTGATCCTTCTTGGCACCATGTTTTCTTCTAATTTTTTTCCCAATTCGCCATTGCGCTTGATATGACTAAAGTATTTCAGCGTTCGAGTTAAGATACTGTTTTTCAGCCAATCTTCCTTGATGTTCCGATCTTTTAAAATGTCAGTATTTCTTCTCTTCTTTGTCCATGGTTTTCTGAGAATCTTTCTATAGTATTTTAACTCGAAAGCTCCCGGTTCCAGTAATCGCCATTATCTTTCTTATGTCCACTTCCGTGTTGTACTGTTTCCTGCATCATATCTCAATATTTCCCATTTCCGTTATCATCCAAGTCATACGTGCAGTCATCTTTATTTCATATTGAGGATAACAACGACATCTTCCATGTGTTATCACGATACATAATATAATAATAGGTAATATAATAATAAATAGGGACTATATCATCCTTCATCATCAAAGTGTGTCTTAGCTAAAGCGCCCTCGGCGATTGAGCATTCAAATCAAATGCAATAAACTCGATGTTATATATCAGTTACATAAAATACATATTATATCTGTCTAGGACTGCTGTTCACAACCTGTGGGTGGCGACCCCTTTGGGGGTCGAACGACTCTTTCATAGGGGTCGCCTAATGCCATCTTAAAACACATATTCATTGAAGTTATGAGGTGGCAATAAAAATAATGTTATAGTTTGGGGCTACTGCAACATGGGAACTGTAGTAAAGGGTCGCGGCATTAGGCAGGTTCTTCTTTTTTTTCGCGTTCATCAGTAAACTCTGGCATACATTTTTGATTTATCGTCCACTTCTGGACTACAGTCCTGTCTGAAAACCTAGGGATGCGTGCGCATCCGTTTCACAGAGGTTTCTCATTTGTATGCAGATATTTAGTTCCTTGCCTCTCAGGCATATGCACTCTGACCTCAAAGGAAGTTCTCACTTAGTCGACGCTTACGACATGCTTTTGGGCAGGCACTGAACCTGTCCGTTCTCCCTACAATAGGGCCCCAGAACCCACATGGGGGATTAGAAAGGACAAAAACCACTCGTGTTAGGCAAATACAATTTTTTCTTTAGCAAGTATAATCAAGCTCCAGTGTTAGGTACTCCACACCGCTCTTTCACTAGACTAGTAAATGTGACTTGCTCTTGTACCCAGTTATATAGACTAACTGAAGTTAATGTATTAGGTAAATGCAAAGATCCTTTCTCACGCATCGGGTGCTAGGTGCTAGACACATAGAGTATTATATAGACCATAGCGGCATTCGATAGGCGATGTAATCAGCACCACTTCAGCTGCTTTTGCATCCAACAAATATTTCATGGTATCCATTTGGACTGTCAACATGGCAGTCCTGAAAATTCTTTTTTTTTTTTTTCAGTTATAAAAACCCATATATCTTCGGATTCGAACCTAAGACAAACAAACATGTGGCCAAAACTACCGCTTATCTGTTCGTGCATAAGGCAACGTAGAAAATGCGAGAAGTTTGGTGATATCTATATACAATAATACCTGACTCCGAGAGTGCATTGAAGTAGGGTAGATAATCCAGACACAAAAATGACTGTGCTGATGAGCTCGCCAAGACCCACGTCATCCCCATCAATACAAATGGCGCTTTTAATGATGACCGGGTAAGCAAATGTTGCACCAAATGCAGTCAGGAATTGCTGAAAATAAACATTAAATATACGGTAATTATTTTGACTGAGAGATAAGCAGTATCATAGTGTCGAATAACTGATCGAATTAACAGCCAAAAGGCCCATTTCATATCATCAGTGCATCATTTTATTAAATCGTCATCCCCCTGTGGGATGGAATTTTTAGTTATTTTGAAGCCCCATCCTGTCTTTCGCCTGGGGCCCCAAATGTAGCCAGGCCTAAAATATGGCCTAAATGCTGAACGGGGTTTCCGGGATCTCTCCACGGGTGATCCTCATCCGCATGGTGGCACTTTGTGTCACCGGGTGTTTATCGCTTGTGTGATATCCTGGTGGGGTACAACTTACATACATCAGTGTATCTAGAATATGCTGCTAGATCAAAATATTACAGACCATGCAGGATTCAAGGAATAATATGATCAACTTCAAGTCGACCGCGTATGCTTCTAGGACATTGCCCGGCACTGAGACTCGTGTCCGGCCATCTTTTATTTTATTATGCTCATAGCTGAATCGGTGTCTATATCCAACAGTGATTTTTTTTCTTAGATTTTCCAGGGGTATGATTTGTGTCTGTCAAAGAGCAAATGTCTCCAAAAGTAAGTACTCGATAGGAAACAATGATTTGGAAAGGCTCCTTGCACGCAAGGTAAACTCTACACTGAACGTGTGGAAATGATGGCTGCGAATCCTGGGCAATTAATAAGTTTGTAAAGTATAAAATGTGTGTGTTTTTTCCTCCCAAAAGACAAATGCCCGTGTAGTAAACACAGTATTCTGAACGTTTTAAAGAGGGTAAGAAAAAGTGGCAATATATAAGAAATATCGCGTTGGCATCTTAACACATACATTGAAATAAAGTATCTGAAACCTAGTCAAACAATTAAATGCATTGAAATGAGTGAGACAGAGAGGGGGAGGGGAGGAGAGGGAAGGGGTGGGATGCAAAATAAGATTACTAACAAGCTTCCAATATAGACTGGACATATGTCAAGAAGTGATGAAGATGATGATGGTAGTATTCGAAACTTGTGACTTCCTTACACTTCATATACCAGTCGCTTTTCTTATATCGCAGAATTATCTGTCCCCTTACTTGTTTATCATCTAACAGTAAAACAACAACGATACTATTTTCCATTCGCCTATCTTACTTCCTCATGTACCATGGCACTTGAAAACTTCACAAGCGAGTACGTCTTACTCCAGATGTTACTGTGAATGGATGAGATGTTCCCTGATTTATTCTAACTACACTTCTACAATCCCTGTATAAACTTTTGCACACTACGATGAGGTGTTCGCTTACTCCATATCTTGCCATTACTTTCCATAATAATTGACTGTCGATTCTGTCAACTCCTTCTCTTGGTCTACGAATGCCACAAATAAGTTCTTTTTGCATTCAATGTTCTTTTCTATTAACTGTTTAAGTGTGAAGATTGCATCTGTGCAGCTTCTATTTCTCCTAAATCCCATCTGTTCTTCTGCCAGGTGTGGTTCTATCACTGGTCTCAGTCTTGTTTCTATTATCTTGGCATACATTTTGCCAACATGGCTTAAAAGAGAGATGCCTCGGTATTGACCGCATTCTCGTTTACTTCCTTTGTTCTTCCACACTGGTATAAATAACTATTGCATGTTGCCAATCAATAGGGGCAGTTTGTTGTACTCATGCTGCAATAAATATTCTGTGAAGCCATCTGATGCTGCTTTCACCTGCTGTTTGAATTATTTCTGTTAGGAATCTATCAGCTCCTGGTGCTTCATATCTGGGAGACTGCTTAATGACTTTTTCTATTTCATTCTTGTATTATTACTGTTCTTATTACTTTCTTTATATGTTGATGTTCACATCATTACAGCACAAGTTAATATAAGTGCAGATGCATTTTTTTGTCTTGACTTCATGGCATTTGTCCTAATATTAGTTTCTGGGATTCCTCTTGATATCCTGGTTTTATTTTTGTAGCCGTACCATGAATTATTTAATGTCCTATTGAAAACTATGTGTTCCATTATCTTCAGCGTCACTCCTAGCAATAGTTATCAGCTTTACAACTCCGTAGCTAGGCCAGTAATAAAGTAAGTATGCCGTGTACCACACGGGGAGAACCGGATTGAAAGCCTCTGTAAAGAAAAAGATTTTTCTGTCTGGCCCTTACAGAGACGGCACCATCACTAGAAATGCAGTTCTAATTTATCAGGCTCAAATACCAGCACACAGCCCTTTGTTTTTTCCTAAACTGCAAAATACAGACAGTTGTTGGGCAGTAGCAGCAGCAGAAGTAGTTGCAGTAATAGTAATAATGTTTATAGTTGTAGAGTCGGCAACTGCAGCAGAAGTGATAATCTTGAAGTCTTTTGTAGATACTGTTGTTAGACCATCGTCGACAAGCTACATCGAAATTCTTAACCTGTCTGTTTAGTCAACACTAAATACTGGCAAGTCCATAATAAAGAGTGCAATGTGCTCTGCTAGGGGTATGCTTTGGTAAGCCACATTGCTATCTGACGAACAGTAAGTTACTACACAGCAGAGACGAATGTTCGTTCAGTTACATGCTTTTATTGGCTGAATCACAACATATCATAGGCACACATTCTCGCGTCCTCGTGTTCATTCTGCTTGTCTGATTCTGGCGGCCTGGTCAAACGTCTCACACACTAATTCGATCCATCAGCGTCTTTCGAATCGTCCTTCCATCCTTCGGCGAAATCTTGTACTCGGTATTAGGACATGTGGAAAACATTCATATCTCCTCTCGAAATGCCCGGCTCTCTAGCGTAGTTGGCTAAACCGGATTGCGCGGTGAACGGGTGGCGAACTCCTAATGGTCCCGGTTCACTCCCCGGGGTAGGCAGAAAAGCCACATTTTTCCCAGATTTACGGTATTTACAATGGAATTAAGGCCGAAAGGTGCGATATCCATAATACCGAGCCTAAGGGTTAACAACTCATGGCTTCTGGATACTAAAACATACAAACAAAACATCTCCTCTCGAAACATAACAAGTATTCACAATTCCTTCATTCTCCTCATGCGTCCATTCATACGACTTCTTGCAACCAGGCCCGAACAACTGTCTCACTCTCGTCTCTCGGTTCACGTCTTCCTTGCCAGTCTCATGCTTTTCTTGTATCCCTTTTTTCGCTCACCATGGGATACACGAGACCCACTTATCTCATTTTTCTCTGTATCACTGGTCCTCTGACCTTGTCCTTTCCATCGGGAACTCTCTGGGATTTTCGCGGGAGCTTTTGAGCTGAAATGCTATAGAAAGATTCTCAGAATACCTTGGTCAAAGAAGAGGAGATATACTGACATCTTGAAAGATCTGAACATCATGGAATATTGGCTAATAAACAGCATACTGTATCGGAGGCTGAAATATTTTGGTCATACCAAGCGCCACGACAGATTGGAAAAAATATAGCAAAAGGTAGGGTACCAGGAAGGAGAGGCAGGGGTCGACCAACACGAAGATGGGCAAAGGATATATGTGACTCCCTAAGTACGAATGTACATGGGGCGGGAGAGCTGGCGAGAGACCATGTTTCTTTCAGGCAGATGAGATCGACGTTCTGCAAAGAACCTGCTACATGAGAATGATAAAATACTGACATTGTGATAGCTAATAGACTACAATGGTTGAGGCATATAGAAAGAATTGCTGAAAGATGGAAAAAAAACTGCATTATCGAAAGAGATGAAAAGGAGAAGAACACACGGGGGATCAAGAAGTCGGTATTGATGTATTATGCAGACAGACCCACAAACACATGGAGTCACTGGCTGGACAAAAGAGGGCAAATCAGATACATAAACGAATATAGGTTATAGCAGCAGCAATAAACCCTAAAGACTAGGAATTCTGAAGGATATCAAGGTCATTACTGATTTTTTTTTAAAATCACACCCACCTGAAATCCCAGAAATAAGCAAAGGTACCAGGGTGGAATCTCGTCCACGGAATATAATATGTCAAGCTGCTTTTCTTCCCCCTCGTCAGATGTTTTCTTTTTATCATCGCTCTTCGAGTCGCTTAGAATGTCTACATGGGTATTCATGTCTGAAGACATACTTGAAAGCAAAGCCAGTTGCCTGTTAAAAAATTACTTGACTGAGATCCTGAAAATAATAAATGAAAAGTATTACTTAATCTGTATGTAGGGGACAGAAGCATATTTAAATACTGATGTATCTTAACAGATTTTCTAACTGTCAGACGGCCATATCTGTTATCAGAGTGTTGTCGTGGTGTTGTCAGGGTGTTATCAGGGTGTTGTCAGGGTGTTGTCGGGGTTCATGACGCGTGTGGTAGGTTAGGACGATCTGTATATATGGATTGCTCTATCCGTGTTCTGTGGCTAAGAAGATGTGAACGCAGCTTCATAATTCTATCATAACGGATTCGATTCAGCTCAGCTGCAGTCACTGGAGGAGAAACAAGAACTTTCCGGTGGATTTCACAGCTAGTGAACGCAAAGAAGACGAATAGGAAGAAAAATTAGCAGGCATTTTCCAGTTGATTTCGACAGTGGTATGAGCCTCGACGGTTTATCGAACAAGGGCAAACAACTAAACATAGAATTGCCTAGGAAAATCACACACATACATTTAATGGGGCTGCTATGTGAAGACCTGTATAGGATATGTAAAAAACCGTTATCCTAAATTCTGCTTGGTTTTAGAGTTTCTCTGTAAACTCCTAATCTCAAGAAATGCTTTTATTACTGTGATTTCACAATCTGTCATGAAACTTTACTTACCATAACAGGCCACCTCGTAAGATAGCAGATCAGAAAGAATAAAACAATAATCGTATGTTTTTTTTTTTTAAAACCACTACCTGGTTTACTTTCTGTAATTTTTACAGTCAAGATTTCAAAAGGACGATATAATTTGTCAAGATTAACTTATGTTATCACAACAGCTAGATTACTTCCTGTTTGGCATAGTTTAGCTGCCTAGGCCGTAGTATTTGTCACCGACTACTGGGCTACTGCATGACTGATAACTGACAAGATAGCTCAGATGAAGTAGTTAAGCTTACTTGCTTGAAATCAGTATATGGTACAATGCTGTTATCGGCGCCGGGTAGCGTAGTGTCGACACGCCGGTCAGCCTGACCGATGGTCTAGGTTTCCAATCAGCAGCACGGGACGAAAATGAAAAAAAAAAAACCTTAGCTCCCATGTGACTGCACCTATTACAGGTACTAGGTATTCTGTTGGGATTCATTGGTGACCAGTGTTGAAGTTGACCACATCACCCACTGCTTTTTAAAAATACTAGATTTAATTGCTTGACTTCGCCCGAGATAGTTAAAGAAAAATGTATTCTCATGTCCTCTACTTCACATTTCAAGGTCCTTTAACTACCAAGGGAGATAACAGCTATTTGTGTTCTATTTTAAATTGATGTGAGTTATGTACAAGAACAGAAATATTTAAAGGAAAAATATTCAAGAGAAAGTTTACTTTTATTGATTGTTTCAATAATACAAGAAACACACACACACACTTACACACACCTCTAGCCGTCAATTTGATAGTTAAATTAAACATTGTTATGATAATGGCAATTGGAAATTTAACCTGTGTAGTGTTCACAGTTTAGAAGGTGTTAACAGCCGACTTAAAACGAAGCTACATAACACAAGAAAGCGTTTGTTCTCTATAGTACAGATGGTTCTAGCATTAGAGCCTGATGCGTCACTGTCATGAAAAGGGTCATTTACTTTTTAATTAATGACTAAATTCTAATATGTCATAGACTTTAAGGCAACACAATTAGTAAATAATAAATAACTGCATCTTTTTTACAATTAAATTATACTTTTCACATTAAATGCATTGCTTTCAAATAATAAAAAGGCTTGAAACAATATGCTTGTAAGTGTTTTGAGACTTTCTGGTACCTTTCTGAAAGCTGGGGTCATATCATTTTGTTTCACATACGTTAGGAACTCATCAAGTCTAAATGCAGCGTTGTTTTCAGAGGTAGAATGTTATCCACTGTGGTTGCACAGGACAAACAACATGACTTCTGCGTAGCAGTTTTATTTAAATCCTATTGCTTTGAATTGAACAATCCATACTTCCGCCGTATGGCCTTTATGTTCCTTTTACCCCAGATATCTCAGAGGCCGATTGGAAATCTATCCGTGAAGTTATCGCCCCCTATAGTTAAAGTCTGAATTTGGAATCGATATCATAGCACACCGGGCACACCCATAGATTCTCTGTCTCCCGCGGAAATTACTTTAGGTTTCGATGTGAACTGTTTCCGTAGCAAACTGTTTATACACACGTCGTTCTCTTTCTCTTATATTTCCCCCCTAGCCGGATCCACGCCAAGTTCTTTGTTCACACATTCTTACACAATATTTTTTCAACTAACCCAGCATTTTCTGTCAGCATTTGTATTTAATTTGTCTTTATAATGTCTTCTTTTTCTAGTACGAGTGCTCAGGTAGGTATCTATCGCATTTGTAGCCAGAAAATCCGCGCTTTCATTCTAGCACACTCCTGCATTTCACAACAGTATATCCACGTGCGTCCCTGTAATGTAGATTGCACGCATGCCACATATGTCAGTTTTGAACCATCCTCAGAACCGACTAAAAATACGAGACTGTAATTACTCTAAACTATGTTCTGCTGTTCACTGCAGAGATTAAAAAAGCACTGTTTTGTAATTCCACGAACTTTTTCATCTCTCTAGCTGAAATCCCCATCTTTCACCCGATAAAAAGAACCATCAGTGCACACTATAGCAGTTAGTGACTCAAACAAGAGAATATCTCTTCCTCCTTGCATGCTCTGATTTGAAGAAAGCGGTTCCCTTCCAAGAATTTGTTGAAGTGAAACGAACGCGCAACGTCTGCACTGCTCAATTACATAACTTTATTATGTATACATTATGACTCAGACAGTTCTCACTTTGAAATTAATAACAAACACAGCATATAAAATTTATACACATACATACACTGTTTAATCCAAAATGTTTTAAAGTACCTAAGACACACAATTTGAAGTAACCGTGCATTCACTGTCTGTATGTTTGATGGCTGCTAGAAACATCCGGTTTAGAACTGGTAAGCTGCAGCTTGAGGTTCAGGTCAGCCTGTATCAGTTCTCGAGTAGGTAAACTCGTCATACTTTTCTAGTCCTTAATTAAGCAAGTGATAAAACGCTTTAACTCTTCCAGTATTAGCCATTTTTACTTTCGTTCTATCAAAAGCAGTTGTTACTTTCAGCCACATATGGGTGCATCTAGATTAGTTAGAACTCCGGCCCCTTTAAAAAGAACGTCAGTGCGTAACTGAGACAACGTGGGTTAACGGAATACGAGAGTCAGACACACAAGGAAAACGTGTACACGGAAAAATGCATGGTTTAGCTCTTGAAGTTAGGCGATTCAATCGTAATGGCTGACTGCTGCTAGTGTAAGCACATCTTTACATTGCGCGTTTTTGTTTTCCTAAGGTGCGCATGTTTCATGCTTGGAATCTAATGGTTTATTTTAAATAGGACAACCGATGTTGTACCCCAGCACGAACAGTGCATTGTGTTTTCTCAGTAGTGCTATTTGATGCGTTGATGACTATTGCGGGTTGCATGCAGACCACTATGTGAGTGAGAGGATTTGAACCCCACTAGGACCGCATTCTGAGAAATTACCACCCGCTAATTACATTACTGTTTTCTTTTTTTACCAATATATCTACACGGTTTGCGTCCCAAACACAACAAACAAAACGTTCGCAGAATGCTTACACCAATCATGGAGAAGCTACAAGGTTTGAAAGCTACCAGTTACTAGTCTACAATTCTAGCTGTGCTCGCATACTTTCAACAGCAAAGCGTGATACCCTCGCCGGTGCAATCGTTACCTGCTAACACAAACAATGTAAATTGACCAGGTCTCGCCACTGACTTACAAAACCAGAACTGTGTGATTAGAGCTTTTCATTATCCTTATTATGTAGCAGGTCCGTTTCAGACGGTCGCTGGGTTTCCTTTAGGTATGCTGAAAAGCAAGCAGGCTCCCCCAAGGGTGTCCTACGATACTACTACTGCTGGATATAAATAACCATAATTAAAAGGAATATTCTTTGTTATTGTATACCGGACAACGCACAGTCCTAACTTCAAAGATGTGTGTTATATATATATATATATATATATATATATATATATATATATATATATATATATATATATATATATATATATATATATTATATATATAAGTATGTGTGTGTTTATATATGTGTGAGTGTATATATATATGTAGACGTATACGTATGTGAATATATATATATACTGTCTGCAGCTGCTACCAAACTGACTAGCTAATGTTATGTATATGACACACTATGAAAGTAACGCACTGAAGTTGTTTTTTTTTTCACGCGTGTTAATGTCCGCCTTAGAGCTTGCTGCAAATTGATTCTATAATAAAAAGGTGGGACCCTGATATAGCCATGGTTAACAGGTGCGTTGAACTTATTCAATAATAAAATTACTGAACATTGAAGAGCAATTAAAAATTGTCGCCAAAACCAGATCCCTTTGAAACTTATGACCCACAACCCACTACACGTGTGGCCCTCTATGATATGAAACCATAAAAATGATTCTTGATGTTTTCATGGAATGGGATTCACCTTTCAAACAACGATCTTCCAAAATTTCCATTACTTCTCCAACTTCTATGTGCTGTCTCGCTATTGTTATCAAGGTACAGTAAACACACATACATCTTTTTGAGTCATGAGGGCCTTGGCATCAGAACTCCAAGGAATGGTAAAGACAGACGTAAAATCTGCGCATCTTGTGTTTACTGAAAATGAAAATAGAACTTTTCTTACACGTTAGAGTGCATCTGCGTGTGAGGCGAGGAACCAGCAGAGCAGTTCGTCTACACAAGTCTAGCTAGATCTGTATAGCTGATGCACAGTAAACTAAAGCTCTTGAATAAGACCAAAGTCCATAAGTGGATTACCAGCGTGAAGTTCACCCCTGAATTTACAGCACAGTCTTTAGAAAGATAATAC